ACTAACTGCAGCGGACAGCGAAGCGGGACAAATAAAGAGACCAACTGATCCTTAACTGAAGGAATTTTCTACAAAGGGAAAATTTATTCCTCCAGGAGAAGAACTGCTGGACTTGGACTCAAAGACAGTAGTTTTTTTTTTTTAATTTATTTATTTTAATTTTTATTTTACATATGTGTAGTTTTGACCTACTTATTCCCCTGATCTAGTTTGGTTCCTTGTTCTTGAGGAAATAACCCAAACACTTTGGAGAGCGTCTCAAGCTTCACCTGATCATTTGTTGTGAGGATTTTGCCAATGACAATGCCGGTGGTCAAAGTGGAGAAAGAGTCTCCAGCAGACACCACGTTGCTTTCCTCCAACCCTTCGCCAAACACAGAGGAGCAGCAGCCCCGGGGCAGGAGGAGAAAGAGACCTCTTCAGAGGGGGAAACCGCCGTACAGCTACATCGCACTCATCTCCATGGCAATCGCCAACTCCCCTGACCGCAAGCTGACGCTTGGCGGGATCTACAGATTTATCACAGAGCGGTTCCCCTTCTATCGAGACAACTCAAAGAAGTGGCAGAATTCCATCCGCCACAACCTGACATTAAACGATTGCTTCATCAAGATCCCTCGAGAGCCCGGCCGACCCGGAAAGGGCAACTACTGGGCGCTGGACCCCAACGCGGAGGATATGTTTGAGAGCGGCAGCTTTCTGAGGCGCAGGAAGAGGTTCAAACGCTGTGACCTCAGCACCTATGCTTCGTATGTCCACGACACACCAGTTTTCTCTCCTGTCCAGATCGCCAGATCCACTGGATACACCAGTTCAGTCTACCCCAACATGACCGTCAGCCCTGCGTACGGCCAGCAGCTGCCCTCTGCCTACTACCCCTCCTCATCACCTCCAGGGTTTGCCCACGGTCAGACCCGCATGTTCAGCATCAATAACATCATTGGACACCCAACCTCACCCAGCATGCTGGCGGGTCAAGGCCCAGAGATGATGCAGCAGCCCAGCAGGAGCTTCAGTCCAGAGGGTCTGCCTAACGGGTCGTCTCCCTGCAGCCTGGGAACCCCAGGTTTCCAGAGTCAACCCTGTGGGGGTGCAGTGCCGCCCCGCTCCTCTGCACACCCAGGGTTCACCTACTCTGGGCCAAACAGCCACGCACACCATCACGCCCACCAGGGCTCCTACGGACAGGCCCACAGCCAGGGGTACGTAGCAACAGGCCGGATCCACTCCACAGCTCACGGCTCTGCAGACACAGTAGACCATTACGGCAGAGTTTCCCCAGTACAGCTCGGCTCTTTCTCCCAGTACAACAGTACAGCGGGTGGTGTCACCAACACTGGGGGATACCTGAGACACCCATCGTACCACGGCAACATGGACCGGTTTGTTTCTGCAATCTGAGCTGCTGGAAACGTCCCAGTCTAAGCTCGGGCTCATGGTGTAAAGATCATAACTTTAAAAGTGAAATTTGAGCGCACAAACAGGACAGTACCGAACAGACTGCAATGATAAATGTGATTTTTTTTTCTGCTATTATTTTAGACCGTGTCTTCCAAACTGATGGGAAGTTCATCTTTAAGACATTCTGTACAGGTTTGCTCAAATGTACCTTTTTTTTCTTCCTTTTCTTTGTCACAATGTGAATGGATAAGTTACAAGCCTAACCTACATTTTTTTTTTTTTTCATATAAATTATTGTACTTCATGGCTTCTGGCTTCACACTAATAAGCTTGTTTGCAGAGGATTAATTAGAAAGTTTGCATGTTCTTTTTTTAAAGAAAAAAAAAACATTTTGTTTGCTTTTTGTAAATAAACGGATAGAGCACTTTTTCTTCATGGAAAAAAAAAACTTATGGTGAATATTGGAAATAAATTGTTTTAATGAAATCATGAATCCATCATTTATTTTCTTATTATTGCCAAGTGTGTGGATTTTGTCCCACAGCCAGTTAGGAAGTTGTTACTCATGGCAGGTATTTATATTTGAAGTAAATTGAAGTAATTAGTTGTGGTATTAACAACCAAAACACAGAAAGATAAACATTGTGTTCCTCCAGTGTTTGAGTTGCTTACCTCAGCGTTTCGGCTCAGCTGGATTTGAAGTGTCGTCTGGAGCCGCAGCATTAGCACTCACTGTGACCACACTTCAGTTTATCATGTCCAGACATCAGCTCACCACTGGAATCTACTAATCAGGAAAATGAATTACCTTAGTAACCTGAACTCACACAAAACCAACAGGAAGCTCAGAAAACTCTGAGGATCTGGCATGATGAGACTCGCAGGGAAACGCTTCATTATATGCTTTATTTTTACCTCTACTTTTTAGATTTTTTTTCTTTTCCTTTTTTGTGAAATGTACCTTTAAAATAGATGCATTTTTATTTTGAGTTTAATTTTTCCCCTTACAACTCCCAGATGGAAAGAAGGGAAACACTACAAACTATTATAGTTTCATTCAATTTCATGAATGACCTGCAATTAATAATTAATAGTGGCGCTTTAAGACCAAATTTATTAGGATGAGGCAAGTCTTTTTTCATGGGGGGGCGCCAGAATAAATAAAAAAAATGGAGGGAGTGAGCCAAAGAGCCTTTGGCAGCTCTAGAAACCTCACGCACTTATAAGTTGTGCTTTCTGTTCCAGTGCATATCATAATTGACTTATCATACATTTGTTTTGTATTATTTCTTTGGTACAGTGGAACTAAAGGGGCCAGGATCCGTTTTACAGGGGCACTGACCTCCGTTGGCCCCTGTCTATCTCCGCCCACGATCATAAATTCACTGGATCGTCTAACCTTTCGAAAGACAGCTTGATACAAATCATATAAAAGGGTGAAAGCGATCCAGCTTGAGCAAATATTTACCTTCTCAACTTCACCTTCCCAAACTTCCACAGAAATGCAGAGGGAGGAAATAAAAACCTGAAGGCGGATTGGGCTGAACATCGGCACACTTCAACCATCTCATTTCTGTGACATGCAGCCTTTCTTAGCTTACTTTATGCGTGGTACTTTGGTAAAGGTATTAATGTCCCCTTAAACTCCATCTTCTGTTGCATTACAGTTTAGTTTTTTTTATAGGATTTTATGATACCAAATTGATACCAAATATATAGAAAGTATAAAAAAAATGTAATAAAAAAAATAAAAAAAACGAAAATGGTGAAACAACTTTGAATTGAATGTGGAAGGTGGCAACACTTGAAAACAGATGTTTTTCTTCCTAATGTGACCTAGCTCCAATTTTTTTTTTTTTTTGCAAAGGAAAAAAATTGCAGAAAGCTGAAAAAAGGTGCAAATCCACACTTTTCAGATTCTGATTAGACCATTGAATTGCATGTATTATTTTGCTTTCAATCATAATTTTGCACCAACCTTTGTGCAAAATTGTCAAATAAAACATGGAGGCGTCATACAATTGAATTAGAGGTGTCCAACCTGCACAATTTAATTCACTGTGCAGATTGGACCTACCTGGTTCAGTAGCTGGGCAGAATGGAGAAGACTTGCTGACTCCACATTTTCCACCTCTGCTAATCACTGGTCTAAGGTGGTGAAATTTGATATGAGCCGTGTGACTCTCTGCCCAGGGTGGCACATAGTAAGAGAAAAGGGACAGTCAGTTTGGCCCAAATATGCTGTCCTTTGCCTGTTTGAATATTAAAAAGTTGAAAGGTGAAAAACTATGTCATGCACAAAATATAAAAACCTCAAAAATTACACTGCACAAAAAAATAAAGGGAACACCAAAACAACATAATATAAATGACAATGTCAAATGCTGTTGTACAAATGGAATAGTCGACAGGTGGAAAGTAGTGATGCTAGGCTCGAGTCAGTATGCGTGACACAGCTTCAACCTTTTTTTAAGCAGAAGTGTCACTAAGAAATGTTTAGAGTGAGAGCGAGGCCTCATTACGTCACATTTCAATAGATTTGAATCATCTGGGCGTTTCAATCCTACTGAACCATGGGTTTTTCCCTGTTTCAGTTTTATTTAAAGACAGGGAAAGAAATCTTTTATTTCTATATATATATATATATATATAATATATATATATATAAATAAATATATATATATATATATATATATATATATATATATATATATAAATAAATATAATAGTTTAGAATTGATTCAGAATCTGTTGCTTCATGCAGATAGACCTAAAATAGATAGGGGCACACACATCTCTACCCACAGCAGTCATACAGATATTTATTCACGCGGCAAATCTAAACAGTTATTTATGTTTCTCCTTTAATGCAATCATCTTCATCTCTTAGAACCACAGCAGGATGTTGAGAACTTTTGCGAACTACTGGGCAGCAGAGTTGGTTCCAATCATTAAAACTATTTGTACAACTTAAGGGATGATTTATTGATGTATTTATATCATAAACTATACACACACACGTACACACATATGTGTATATATATATATATATATACATACATACACACACACACACGTGTATATACACACACACACATATATACATACATATACACATATATACATACACACACACATAAATACACACACACACACGTGTACATATACATATATCTATATTGTTTGCTATATTGTTTTTACAATCACTGTACCATAAAATAAGTAGATGTAACATTTAATTATTAATATAAAGCATTTTTAAAATATGAAGTAAAAAATTTAATCAAAATGCATCATTAATTTAATAAACATCATTTGAAAAAAATTTATTTATTTAAAGAAAAATATTACTTCACTTTATATGTTTAATCAGAGCAAACTAACTTCATGTCTTTTTATGGTTCCCCAGTCTGCTGCTGTTATTTTTGGGGTCACAGGCTGAGAAGTTTGGGAATCCCTGTTCTGGGGAACTGGAGCCCCTTCAAGATTAGATCTTATTAAAGAAGAGACGCAAAAACGTAAAGATTGAATGAAGGCAGTTAAACAGTTCAGTTTTAAGATTTATCTGGAAATAAACGATAGCCGAGGAAAACTCACAATACATGTTAAAAGGTTCCTTCTTTTATTAGGATAATAAACAAGTATAAAACACCAAACAAACATAAATATTTCAAACGGAACGGCGATCAGACTAGCATCAGCCGATGTATTCCACCAGCTGCTGCAGATGCTCGCAATGCTTCACCACTTCTGGCAGCGAGAGAAGAGTCTGCAGGAGGAAATAAAAACAATTCCATCAAAATCTGCTTTCCAAACACCGTCAACAAACGACACATCAGAACAAGTCTCACCTCTCTGACTTTATTGAGCATGCTGTTCAACATCTGGAGCTCGTCGTCCATTTTCTGCTGGTTGGTCAGATGGATGATTTGCTAAGAGAGAGGATACGATGGCTGTCTAAATATTTTTCCAGATTTTACAGGAAGGTGCAGGTATGTGGGCAGATATCGTGGTGAGCCGACAGATAGGATCAGGACTCACGTGTCTCTTTGCTCTCTCCAGGATTTTAACTTTGGCCTGCTCTGCTTCCTGGAGACTTGCCTTCAGCCTCTCCACCTGGTGGCCACAAACCCAATGTCAGTCACAAACCAACAGATAATAAAACTCCTGATCCAGCAGGCTTACAGACCTTCTTCAGCAGCTCGATCTTCTCCTCCATGTGATTGACCGGGTGCGCCGATGCTACGCCTGCTTTCCCCAATTCCTCCCGCAGGACCTGGGATTCAACGCGGGACTCCTTCAGAGCACGACGCAGCTCCGTCACGTCCTTTCGCAAGTCCTGAGAGGCAATTTAAGAAAAGTTAAAGAAAACAGCAACATTTCCTATTAGATCTGATATGTGTAGTTAATGTTGTACATTGTTGTCACTCTTGTGTTTGCTTAGGATGTCCTGTGCCTCTTGGACGTCTGCCATCAGCTTTGTTAGTGTTTTCTCATCCTTCAGGGGGAAAAAAAATACATACCGGTATATACCAAATCGTTTAAAGATCTTTTCAGACCAAAAGTGTCACCCTCTAACATAACAGCAGTTCCAACCTGTGCTTTCTGCTCCAGGGCCTGTTTTCCTCTCTCTGCCAGGCTACTCAAATGCTGCAGCTCCTGTTTCAGCTCCAGCACCTCAGCTTGATGTCTGCTGGTCAAGGTCTGCTGCTCCACCTGCAGGCCACAGCTTGAACAACAGGAGAACGTTGTAAGAGGGAAGAAGTGAATGCATGCGATCAAAGAAATAAGAAAACCACTACTGTGTCAGGGTCTTTGGATCATTTGTGCTTTTATTTTTGCTGAAAAAGTTTAGTAAAGAAAAGTATACCACAGCTTTTTGGGGCATTAGGACCAAACAAGATGAGCTGCGGAACAGATTTATTAACTCTGGATGAGTGCTCAGATTATTAATGATTCTTGAAGCAGAGTTTTGGGAATCTAGTTTGCTTTAGAAAAATAAAATCAAACATGTATGGATAGGAGACCAGAGCTTTGCTTTATTCTAAGCCAGTTAATAATAATTTAAAGGATAAAAAAAGCCTAAAAACCTCACTTTTAAAATGTCCTTATAAATCTGTAAGTAATCATCTCCACTGTTCTTTTATAAAACATAATAAGAAATAACGTCTGGAAACAAACCTTTGTTATGACAGATTTTTAACTAAATTTAATTTAACCTTTTAATTAACATCCTAATAGTAGCAATATCAATTTAACTCATTCATCCATATTGGATGTCAAGCATGTTGGTTTTTTGTTAAAATCATGTTTAGGGTCATAAGTTAAAATATCGGGTAGAAATATTTTCATTAAAAATAAATAAATAAATAAATAAATAAATAAATAAATAAAAAAATGTCCTCTGAACTGACGCAACAGAGCAGGAAGGTTCTGGAAGATGTCAGGCCAGCATTTTAGAAACAGAACATTTGGAGTGGCTGTAGGTTAAATTAGGGCTGTAGAATTCATTATATTTGCAATTTAATGGGAGTTTTACGAAACATTTTTATTAATCACTGAGACCCTCATTTTTTGTTCATATCACAGGAGTAAGACACTGACTGTCTCACTCCAGCCCTTTAGGTGGCGGTAATAGGCTTAATGTGGGTTTATCAACACAGAAGGAAGGAAGCTTTCAAAGTCATGGAAACAATAAAACCCTTACTGAAACAATAAAACATGACTGTGGTAGATTTGGTTATGGTGAAGGAAAATCTTATTAACAAAATCGCAATATTGGTGAAAAAAACAGACAAATGTACTTTGATTTCATTGCCAATATAGTTCACCTCAAGATTTAATTTTCCCTACTTTGGACAGTCATTGCCAGAACACTGATCCAATGCTTTAACAGGTGACCTAGTTAAAGTCACAACTTAAACCCAAATTTATAATAATATGGTGACATAACACCATTCCCACATACGTAGAAAAGGGGAAAAAAACTTAAACAATCTGACCTGTAGGATTTAAAGAGAAGAGAAATTATATCTTTACACAAGTTAGATTTGTTCAGTTTGGTTTTGTTTTTTTAACCCTTGATGTCATTAACGACTGCTTTTATATTTGGTCAATTTTGATGTCGTTTTGATTAAATGTGTTTCATGAATTGAAACTTTTAAGTTCTGAAAGAAAAAAAAGAAACACCTATTAAAATTATATGGCAGGAAATGTCTTTGCAAATTTTGCGTCAAGGCTGTAAATGACTGCATTAGGGCAGGTATTTCCTTAAAATTGTTAGATCCCAAAAGGTGCCTTAGAAGATTCAAACCAGGTGAAAGTAAAAGTGGGCCTGTTTGATATCAATGTATAAAAAAGGTTTTTATCCAAAATGTTTTGTTTTTTTTCTAATTTCGACACAAGTACTGGTCCGAGTAACTTTCTCTTTTCAGCTAATGTGTCCCTGCCTGCATTAATCAATTCATTTTTTGACAAATATTACAATAATGGATTAATCGGGACTGTTTGGATAAACTGTTTCTGCCCTGTTCTGCATTAGAAGCAACCCAAACATGATCATTACACCTTCCACCTACATGGTGTTGTTCAGCTCCTGCAGCTTCTCGTCTCTGCGCTGCTGCACCAGTTTCAGCGTGCTGATGAGCTCTGTGACGGCGCCGTTCAGCCCAGAGAGGAGCTCGGCCACAGAGCTCTCCACCTCCTCCTCCTCTTCTTCTTCTTCTTCATCCTGGACTGCATCAGAGTTCTTCTTCGGGGTCGCGATGCGGGTGAAGGCACTCGTCTCGCTGCAGAAGACTTCAGTTTGTGGCTCTGGTGTATCTGAAGGGAGTTATTGAAACCGTCACAAATAAAGAACAAAACACTGGGATGGAGGAGAAATGGAACAGAGGATTTATTTCTAAAATCCTCTTAAACTTTTAATCATTTTGTAAAGTTTGTTTTCAAAGAGTCCAGAAAAGGCTGCAGTACCGTAAGGCGAGTCTGTTCTGACGTCTTCCTCCTTCTCGCCAGTTAAAGCCACCATGACGCTGTCCACCAGGGAGCAGGACGGATGCCTGCGCTCTGCATAGGGAAACGCAGCAGACTCTTTGTGCTTGTGTTGATTTTCTGTCTGAAAAGATGAAGATGACACTGAGGGGTCAGAACAGACTGTGTGAAAAGAAGCCCTCATGGCAGCAGCCTTCAAACGAAAACTATTTAAAACATCAACTAAAGTGATTCAGGCTTTCTGGGACTATTACAAAGAAACAGTAGACGATGGACATCAGGTCTTACTGTCAGACACTGTCTACTGTAGACTGTTTTTGTTCCTGATGCTTCAACCGTTCTGTTTTTCATATTTTGCAAAGCACACCATGTGGTCAAAACACGAACCAGAAACAAATCTTAACATACAGATGAATATACTCCGAAAGAACAATGAAAACTGTCTTTTCCTCTTCCAAGGTTGCAGGAACAAAGCTTGTTAAAGCTCATTTTGGTGTGTATACCATGACAGCGTCAGGGATCCATGAAGACTTTTTGGAGCTTCTACAGTATAGTTTTAGGTAAGCACTAAATGTAATTTCCAACATCTCAAAAAAAAAAAAAAAAAAATGAGTTATCTGCAGCTTTCAGAGACATACCTTTTTAAAAAAGCCAATATTTCAGTTAGGGTACCATTTTGATAGAAATACTCAACTTAAACAAAAACAGTTTGAATTTGTCGAAATGTTGAAAGCTTGAAAAGAAGCAAATATCAAGGATATATACATGTTTGCAAAAATACAGATAAACTATTCAACAACATAAAGAAAGAAAGCAAGGGAAAAAGATGAAGACACTTTACTTTTTGAAGCTAAGTGGTAAATTATATTAAAAAGTGTCATAACTACCTTATCTAGTATTTGGGAGAGTTCACAGGGAGAAACATTGTACGTTTATCCATAGGTTATAAGTAAATATTGTAGAGATGAAGACAGTCAAGCAGTTAATTATGATGTGTTTTGGAACTGGGCTGCGGTCGCCCCCTACTGGATACTGTAAGTAAAGGGAATTAGAAACGTATCCGGTCTGGACTTTCAATACGATTTCACAACAATCCATTTAAGCAATTTACCCCAACTGGGGAAAAAAATTAAAAATTCTATTTTGTTAACATAGTTGGCAGGAGCAAAAAAGAAAAACTTGTCACAGATGGTTAAGTGAAGAGATCCCCAACATTAAAGACTGGATACAATGAAAAGACTTACGTTTACAATGAGGACGTCATTGAAAAAATGTAAACGTTATTGCAGAAATAGAAATCCATAATTAGGACTCTGATTTTTATAACCGTTTCTAAATAAAAGGAATGTGCTAATGAGCTGATGCAAAATGCTGCAGCCAGAGTTCTGATGAAAATTAAAAAGGGAGATCATGTCTCTCCTATCCTGGCTTCTCTTCATTGGCTTCCTCTTAAATTTTTATTTTGATTTTATTATTTTTATTTTATATACTCTAATAATCCCAGAGGGAACTTACTTCTCTGCATTAACCCATCCCCTTGGGGAGCAGTGGGCTGCCATTTTGCGGCGCCTGGGGAGCAGTGTGGGGTTAAGGGTCTTGCTCAGAGACCCAGAGTGACAGTCTGTGGGAGTGGGGGATCGAACTCACAACCTCAGGATTCAAGGCCCTATGCCCTAACCTATAGGCTGCCACTCCCCAATGTTAAGTTCCTAACAGAGCACTTCACTCTCAATCTGCAGGTTTATTAGTGGTTCCTAGAATTTCTAAAAATAGAATGGGAGGCAGATCTTTTAGTTATCAGGCTCCTCTCCTGTGGAACCAACTACCAGTTTTGGTCCGTGAGGCAGACACCCTGTCTACTTTTAAGGCTAGGCTTAAAACTTTCCTTTTTGATAAAGCTTATAGTTAGAGGGACTCAGGTTATCCTGAGCTATCTCTATAGTTATGCTGCTATAGGCTTAGACATCTGGAGGACATAGGAGGTTCTTCATTCTATCTATTCTCCCACTCTACGGAGTCTGTTAGTTCAATACCTTTGTTCATAGATGTTGGAGATCGGCCTGTTTTTCAGTCTAGTCCTGGTTCTCTGACTGTGACTGGCTGGATGTTCTCTCTTCATCCTCTGACATGGGAGCTCGTCTGCCTGGCTGTGTGTTTCCTGGACGGGGCCGCCTTTTACAGTTGCTTTTTGTATTTCTGCTTCTGTCTCTTTGAACCCCAGTCGGCCTCAGCAGATGGCCGCTCACACTGAGCCTGGTTCTGCTGGAGGTTTCTTCCTGTTAAAAGGGAGTTTTCACTCTCCATTGTGGCTACAAGCAATGAGTTGATGCAATGAACTGGTTTCCCTAAGATAGAAAACTTTTAATCAAT